AAACATTGGGAATTTGCGTTTGCATTATGGCTACTGTTGTGTTAACACACAGATAGTATCAGAATCTGAGGCACTTCTGATGTGTCTTTCTGGGAAGGTGTAAGCTAATCGTGCTGTATGTTCATGAAATAGAAATATTCTGCTTATTATCAAACTGCCATTTCTTTAGCGGAGCTCCTAAAAAGATATCCAAGCAAAGGTGTCTTCAAAAGGCAGGGCTTTTCAGAGAAATTCCTTTGTTTTACAGTAAGTAGGGAAAATATAATTTAAAAAAATTCAACCATGCAATGATTATTTGAAAGGTCGTACACAGTTCTGCTCGCAGAAAACTGACCTGGAATATAGTATGTGAGCCAGTCTAAGGAAATTAAATCTAAAATGCTTAAAGTTCTGTTAGGCAGAAAAGTCTATGATTATTGATAACTGTAAAATGTGCAGTGGGTTGTGTACTTAAATTATTACGCTGTTGCTTGTTTCTTTTAAATTTATTCAACATTTCTTTGTTGGCTTGGAAACCATAAGTATGATTATATATCAGACACGTAAAGTTGCTGGAGCTGAAACATATTTTTTCTTGTGCAGAAATCTTTTTGTCATATAGTATTTTTAATATATCAATGGCACTGAAGTATGGCACTTTTCTGTGATATGTGTTTGACTATAAACCATTTTAGGCACATACATAGTATTTAAGTGGCATAATTATAATATATTGCTCCTATATGGTGCTTTTAATCCATAAATCTGTTACGTTGCAAAAAGTGAAATCCTTTAAATCCTTTATTTTGTAAGATACTGATGTTAGAAGCCTGATATACAGTAATTCCTCATTTAACACGGTAGATACGTTTCAAAAAATGATCATGTTAAGTGAAAGCGTGTTATGCGGGGTCAATTTTTCCATTGAAAATAATGGAAAAGGAGGGGGTTGCATTTCAAGTAGTGGTGTCAAAGTCAATTTTCTGTTGGTGTTGAGTCATCAACATCAACATTAGACGATGAAGATGGAACAGGGCTATCTTGTTCATCAGATGATCTTCTTTTAGGTTGAACATGAAAAAAACTTTTGATAAAGAGCTGCTTTCCTGCTTTTGTTTTTCATTGGTAGCAAGATATCGCACTTTCTAAGCTTTTTCGCTACTTTTGAGCTCCGTTTGCGGTCAGGATCATTTTCATGAAAAATGTTTATTTAATCACTTATAACCTTAAATGCTTCAGCCATAACTTTCATTGATAATGTTCAAATAACTGGCTCGGCATGTTCAGGTTCATTTTCCAGCCACTGCTCCTCCAGAAGCTTCCACTCGTCGATAGACAACTCCTCCCCATGAGAGTCGAGCAACTCTTGCACATCAGTAGCATCCACCTCCTCTAATCCTGCTTCATGGGCTAGGGCTACAATCTGCTTTTTAGCTTCAGCTATTTGTGTCAAACTCCCTAAACTCGTGAACATATGCAGGCCATATACGGCGCCAAACTGCGTTAAGGCAACTCGATGAAACTTCTTCCCAAGCCTCTGCTATAATAGCTATAGCTTCTTTAATGTTAAATTTTCTCCAGAATTCCTTGATTGTAGGCTTATTCTCACTATCTGTCTGCCTTATAAGCCTAGCAAAAGTATGGCGCAAGTAATACGCCTTGAAAGCAGCTATCGCTCCTTGATCAAGACGTTGAATTAACGAGGTTGTTTTGGGGGGTAAAGATAACACATGAATGTTTTCTGACAGACCAGTAAGGCAAGGAGGATGCCCTGGTGCATTATCTAGAAGTAGTAAAATTTTGAAAGCAAGATCTTCTTGCAAACAGTAGTCTTTCAACTCAGCAGTTAGGCGATTGCAAAGGTAGTCTGTGAAGATGCTTACAGTTACCCATACTGTCACATTAGATCTCCAAAAACCAGGAAGATGATCCTTTGAATAGCTAGCTAAAGCTCTAGGGTTGGCGGAACAATGAACTACTATCAGTTTGAGCTGGCACTCCCCGTTGGCATTGGTGCATAGCATCACAGTGATATGATCCTTTAAAGCCTTAAAACCAGGTGCATAAGCCTCATCACGAGAGATATATGTGCGGGCTGGCATGCGCTTCCAAAAGAGTCCTGTTTCGTACAGGTTAAACACCTGCTCAGACGAATAGCCACCTTCCTTTATAATAGCTTCAAATATCTCTGGGAATGATTCAGCAACCTCCGTGACAGCAGCAGCAGCCTCTCCAGTTATTTTTATATTATGTAAGTTTGAACACGTTTTAAAGAGTTTGAACCAACCATGACTTGCATTAAATGACTTGGCATCAGTTTCATTCAATTCTATTTTAACAGCATCATATAAAGCTTTGGCTTTTTCCTGAATAACAGCCAAACTCACTGATATCTTCCATTGTGTTTGGTCTTCAATCCACATAGACAATCGCCTCTCCATATTTTCCATTAGGTTAGATCATGTATGAGCAACCTTCTTCACACTTACTAGTGTTGCATTTTTGCAACTTTCCTTAATTTTCTCAGCTTGGGCATGGATTGTGCGCACACTAGATTAATGTATATTCAAAGCGCGAGAGATATCACAATTGCGTTCACCTTTTTCAGTGCGCTTAATCACTTCAGGTTTCTCTTCTAATGTAAACGATTTTCCATGCTTCTTGCTTGCAGAAGCAGATGTATCACTTTCCTTACGCTTTCCACTCATGATAAGGGATACAGTAATACACAGCAAGATACAGTACAGTATCTAACAATTCAGTACAAGACGTCGCGGTTTGTTAACACAAGATAAACACATGAGTGAGCGGAGGAGCGTTGTGACCACATGTACAGTGTATTCATTTGCTCGTGCATATAGTACAGTACATTAAAACTCCCAATAGGGCATCAGCTGGAACCCAGAAGTGCTCTGGTCAGCCGCTCTCTCGGTGGGGCTGCTGAGAGCCGCATGTGCACTTGCGGTTCCAGCCTGCACTTGTTAGCAGCCAGGATCAGGAAATAAGTATTGGGGAGAAAGGGGACTGGGTTACAGCAGGGAGGGGAGGTGTTTGGCTCTGGGGAAGAGAAGAGGAGGAGAGGGGAGGGGGATTGGGTTGGGAGTACAGAATGCCCCTGTGACGGGTTTGCCGGGACCCGCACTGCATCTGGCAAGGGGGGGGTTTGCCGGGGAAGAGCGCGGCGAGCTGCGAACCCTCCACCGCTTTGCAGGGAGGCGGGGGAAGCCCCACGCAGCCACCAGTGACAGGCCATCTGGGGAAACCGTTTTATATCGGGGACAGTTGTGTTATTCCAAAAAAAGTTCCCTAAAAAAAATCATGCTATCGCAAAAACATGTTAAGTGGGCACGTGTTAAACGAGTAATTACTGTAGTCCAGTTATTTTTGAGATGCAGATACCTTCTAGCAATCACCCATTATTTGGAGCCCAGAAGAGGCTCTATACTTCTGTGTAGATGTGAACATAAATGAACTAGTCTGTGTTAGGAATATTAAAATGAGTTTATTTGTGTAAGAATGTAATCACTGAAATTTTCAGCAAATACACGTTTACAAGTGGGGGAGGTGGAGGTGTGAGCTGATGTAAGCTGCCTTCCCTTTGGTGCTGGCTCCCCGTGACCACCAGCTCCTGTCTGCCTCCTCCATACACACACATACTGCTGCCCATGTGGGAGGCAGCAGAGGGGTAGGCAACTCTGTGGGAGCTGGCACGCATGGGAAACCGGGCTTAAAAGCTGGCTCCCTGCGCACACCAGCTGCCGCCTTGTCCCTAGCCCCCGTGCAGCAGTGGGTGGGGGGAGGGCAGTTGGCTCAGTGAGAGGCAATATGCGTGGGGAACTGCAGCTTGAAAGCTGTCTTCCTATGTGTACCAGCTCCTGCTTCCCCCACCCACCGACTGCTCCGTCTGTGGGTCAACATACCTTAATTCAGTCTTCTGCGCCATCTCCACAGCAGACACTCCCATTGATTTCCCTTACTCCTCACAAATTGAGGACTACTGGCATTGATGGGGGCACCCTCCTCGTTCGATTTAGCAGTTGTTTACTGGACCTGCTAAATTGAACTCAAGAACATTGACCGCCGTAGCATCAATCTTCCCAGAAATGAAGATGGGGCCTCAGTAACACAGAGAAGGTAATATCAAGAGCTGGTGCAAAAGAGAAATTGAGGAGCAGTTTTTGTCAAAGAGTGATCGCTACTAAGGGAAAGATGCCAACAGCACGCTCAAAGCTGGAAGTGTATGAAAATGTGATCTGTGCCCAGAGAATTTACAGCAGGAGTCTCAAACTTCTGGACCATGGGACAGTCCTGACCAGAGCGATTGTACAATCTAGCTAGGGACTCTTGGGGGAGGGTGTCCATTACTGACCCCAAGTCCTGCCCTTTCCTGCCATGGCTCCATCCTCTCCCCCCAGGATACCCTATCCCCCCAGCACATGACTTTGGAGAACATAGAGCGGGCACCTAGCACCCCACAGTGGCAGCAGTCACGTCCCCTTGCACTTCATGTGGTAGCAGGAGCTGTGGGAGAAGTGGAGTGCAGTGAAGTGAGTGTGCCCACCAAGTACACTCCACTTACCCTGCAGCTCATGCCGCTATGGGGAGTGCAGAAGATGCTGCTGCTGCTGCTGCACGATCCCAGTCCTACCCCCCCTTCCTGCAATCCCCAAAGCGGTGTGTGCGGGGGACAAGGTGCCATGGGGGGAGAGGGCAGGACAGTGGTGAGAAAGCAGAACATGGGGCCAGTAACAGACAGCCACCCCTCCCTCGGCCTGCCAGGAGTCCTAGTCCAGATTGCACAATCGCTCAGGCTGGGAGCTTGTGACCCCTGATTTACAGTGTAGTTGGACATAGACCAAATGGTTCAGAGCCTGTGTATCAGACTATATAAACTCAAGGTGGTGCAGAAATCTAATTGTGCTCTAAATTTAGCACCAAAGCATGTTAAATTGTTCGTAATTATAAAACATAATTGTTTTTTCTTTGCTGACATGTTTTCCCCTCTCTGTTTTGGCTTTCAGGAGTTCTATGAACATACAAAAACACTTTGGCACGATGAAGGTGTGAAAGCCTGCTACGAGAGGTCTAATGAGTATCAATTGATTGACTGTGCGCAGTAGTAAGTAGTACTTTTGTTCTGCTATACATTAGCAATAGCTATAATTTTCTTAGTATTTGCAAATGATAGAAAGCACTCTTGTTTCCTGATGTCTTCTGTCCCATGAAAATAATAGATTTCACTGTAAATGCTTACCTAAATTAGCCACTTTTAGGACCACCAAAATTACACAGCTATTGGTAGTCTTTACATGTTAAACAAAAACTGTACTGCAAACACTGGAGATAGTTTAAAATGCTCTTGATGGGGGACTCAATTTTTCTTGAGATAAACTAGATCTTAATAGTGCGTCCAAAGGCCAACCTCTTTCCTTTCCAGTAACAATCACTTGGTCCCCACATCATTTTCCACTGACAGTCAGATAAAATCCCTGAGTCCACAGCTGTTGTTTATGTAGACAAGTTGTACTGTGGGGAACATTTTACTTTGTCATATTCTAATACAATTTAGTAGCTGAAAAGAAGGACGTAGAGCCGCCAGCTGGGACTTGATGCACCATTCATGCTCACTTCAGAATGGGAATCACTCTAGTTCCATAATTAACATTACCACATATAATAATTATATGCATATTAAGAGACTGGAGGCAAATTTGCAGTTCTTCACTCATAGCATAATTCCAAAGTTTGGTGGTTTTACTAAATTTGTTTATTTTGTATAAAGAACATGTACTTTACTCATAGTTCTAGAGTTGAGGGCTGAAGAGACCACCAGAATATCTAGTTCTTAAGTTTATAATGAAACCTTTTTCATTTGGAAGAGTTATGGTTGAAAGAGTTATGGTTAAAAGGTACTATCTATTAATATAGAAGTCTGTTCTCTTTTGGTAGAAATCAAAAGCAAGATTTTGTGATTGGGTAAACAATTGTTATATGAAATGTGATGCAATCGGAGGTCAGGAGTGTTTGAGATTGTGTCTTTAGGATTGGGTCTTTCACAAGTTGAAGAGCATTAGATAAACTACAGCATGATTTTATGTCTCTGTTTATCTCAGACCACTAGTAATCTAAAATTATCCTTGCTATAAAGACTACTTACCATGATTTTTGCACTGTTCCGGATCTTAAGAAACCAGTTTAAAGTTTTAATAGTGTATCTAGTATGACTTTGTTTGACATGTAGTTAGGCCCCCTTCTCTAAAATACTGATTTTTTTTTTATAGTCCATTGTGATCACTTAAGGTGTTTTCTTTGTAAGTTTATTTGCTACACAGCAAGAAATATTTAAGGGTTTGTGATTTTTTTAATTTGATGTGTAACACTATGCTCTAAAGTGTTGCCCTTTGTATTGTTCTTACTAAAAGCGCTAGTAGAAACCATTTTTTTTCTGTTAGTGCTTGGTTACCTTGCTATTTCTGCTAGCAGAAGTAGATAAAATTAGGAACTTGTGCTCCGTCTGTCATGTTGCTCTGTACTGAAATTTTATTTTACTTAAGATGAAAACTCTGTACATTATTTTTTCCAGTAATTCGTGATTGCTTGACATTGGCTTTGTGGGAGAAAAGGCAGGAATGGCTTTTAATGGTTTTACTATCCTGATCCCTCTACTGGAATACAGATTTTTACAGTATAGTTCATTGACCATTGGTGACAAATTACAGAAATGTTTCTAGACAATTTTTCATTGTTCAGTTTGTTTTTAATTTATGTCAAAGTTCATGTTCTTTTTTAACTTAGAATTTATTGCAACAATTTGGTAGTTGTTTTTATAAAGAATTTTGTCCTTTGTTAAACACCTTTTTGGTGTTTTCTGATACTGAACTATTGAGTATTTTTAATGTCATGGAACCAAAGGAAAAATGTTCCTAATAAACTCTGTTTTGAAATCACAGTGTGCCTCTAATACTTTTTTATCATTAAAATAAAGAAATTAGGGGCACGGGGTGATATAAAATATTAGTAATAAGTATATTTGCATTCTTGCCGACAGTATATTAATGTACAAAAGGGTTTTCAAGGTACAGAATGCTTGGCATTTCCTAAGTTTTTTTTAAAACCAAGCTTTTTAGTTTCACTATAAAGTAATAGTGAAGAAATTAACTTGGAATTTATGGATTTATTTGGCATTACAAAATTTTGCATGTCAGAGGTGAACCTGATCCATCCCTGTACAAACCCTGCATAAAGCCCACACGGGAGAAAGGAGGTTGAGAGGATGGCATCTGCATTCAGTGAGTGGGAAGATTGTGATTCATCCCCTGCGTGGTCGTTGTTCCAGCCAGTGGTCTAACATAGCAGCCACAGCCACCTCCATGGATTCTTTTAAGCATTTCTGGGGGTAAACTCTGTCTCCTCCCTTTCAGACACCTAATTTGGAGCCAGAGCTGTAGTCCTCTCGGCAGTGCAAAGGAAGTGGGGAGATAGACCTGCATGGTCTTTCTATCTGCGTGCCTGCTTGCACAGCATCACAATGGCACTTAACATGACATAGAGGGGTGGGCCTTCTGTACTTGGTACTCAGGCTGGCAATTTGTGTGGGAACTGAGCTTTATTTTTCCTGGGTTTGGGGCTTACATTCTGCTTCTTCTCTCTGAATCCATCTGCCTACCCATAGCTTGCCAAGATGGAAAGACTAAGCCCTGCCCTTGGACTAGATTGACTTACCCTTCTTTTAGAAATTAAAAAGTAGAATAATTTGGCCCTTCTAGTCTCTTTTTTTAAAGTGGAAAAATAGGAGGAGTTGGCAGGTCTTATTTCTGAACAATGTTGTTTCTCCTTTTACAGTTCTGGGGGTTTTATTTTTTTAAAGGAAAATTGATTCTCTATATTGAGGGAGAAAACAGCAATTTTTCAGTGGAGGAGGGTTCCAGAGATGTTATGGTGTTACTTCTGGTCTTGGATATTGCTGAAAAGCAAGAGATTTTAGGAAGTGCAAACTAGCTCTTTTACAAGCCAAGAAGAGCCCACTCATGAGTGTAGAGCAGAGGTGCTTTTCTAGTTGCCACTCCCATCCCTGTGAAAGAAGCCTTATCCCTTCTCTAATCAGTCATATTTTTAGCCCACACTTCACTGTTTTGTCTAGGCATCAGAGAATAGTATCTCTCTTATGCCTGTCCAGCTGCTAAGCTCTATACTATTTAAAACTTTTTAGCATTGTCCCATAGTAGGTTAATGTTTAATGTACCCTGAATGCCTTTCTTTCTTTCTTTCTTTCTTTCTCTCTTTCTCTCTTTCTCTCTTTCTCTCTTTCTCTCTTTCTCTCTTTCTCTCTTTCTCTCTTTCTCTCTTTCTCTCTTTCTCTCTTTCTCTCTCTCTCCAATCCTGCACATGCACCATACAGTATATTACATAAATTGACTTGGGGAGGTACAATGATGTAACTTTAACTCTAAGGTCTTCTGCTGGCTTCTGGACTCTCACTTATACAGTTAGTACTCTTCTTCTAGGTTTGCAGCTTGAAACTATATTAATGTTTGCTGAGAGTAAATTAAATTTTTCAGTGTAGAGGCATCCCTGTTGATCTTGAAAGCGTTATCTACCTCTACTCTTCGTGAGCTTTACTGTACTTCCTGCTTACTATGCTTGCAGTTTCAGGGGAGGAGGAAAGAGAGGGTTTTTCTTCTCTGACTTAATTGGACTAGTAACTAGTTACTTTTAATTCTCTTTTTAGAAAATGAGTGGTCTGGGAGCTTTCATCATTTTTGCTCTATTTGGAATGTGCTGTAGGTGTGAGAAGGGAACTATATTGAGGAAACTAGGGGTACGTCTAGACTACATGCCTCTGGCGACAGAGGCATGTAGATTAGGCTACCGGACATAGTAAAATGAAACGGCGATTTAAATAATCGCCGCTTCATTTAAATTTACATGGCTGCCGCACTGAGCCGACAAACAGCTGATCAGCTGTTTGTCGGCTCAGCGCGATAGTCTGGACGCTCCCCTCCCGACATCAAAGGTATTTGTCGACCACCCAGGTATGCCTCATCCCAGGAGAGAGTCACACTTGGGGGCGGGGAATAGAAGTGTTTACAGAAATGGCACTGTAATATGTATTATTATTTCTGATTAGTGATGCAGAATACAGAAAATTCCTGTCTAATCCATGAAGGGCATAAAGCTTGGATTTTTATTCAGGTAAACATTAGTGTTTGATATTAAAGAAAGTAAGGTTCATTGTCTCCATTTAAGTTCCTCAGTACTTGTTTGTCACACCAAAGACACATTTCCGTAACTTGAATTTGTTTTGTCCTGTAATAAAGCTTCACAACATTATATTAGTGAGTGGGATAGCTGGTGTGAAGTATCAATGGAATTGTAATGGTTAATGGGCAAGTGTAGATGCACAACTATAAAACAGTGATAATCATCACAAAAGTACACGCTGTTCAATGTATTGTAGTAGAGCCTCTGGGAGAGGGCCCCATTTTACCCAGTACAGGCAGTCCCAGGGTTACGTACAAGATAGGGACTGTAGCTTTGTTCTTAAGTTGAATTTGTATGTAAGTGGGAACTGGTACATATTGTACCCCAGGTGTCCCCGATTCAACCGCTGCTGAAACTGACCAGCGCTGACTACAGGAAGCCCGAGGCAGAGCTGCTTTGCCCTGGGCTTCCTGGAATCAGCTGCTGATCAGTTTCAGCAGCAGCTGACTTGGGGACGCCTGGGACAGAGCAGCTGGGGTGCTGCCAGGTTGGTCCCCACAGCCCCAAGGTGCAGCGCTGCGGAGACCAACCTGGCAGCGCCCCAGCTGCTCTGTCCCAGGCGTCCAGATTCAGCCGCTGTTGAAACTGACCAGCAGCGGCTGCCCCATCCTGTTATTCAAACAAAGGGCGTGGGGTTCGCTAGAAGAGATTAAAGCTAAATGTAATGTATATATCTATGGTGAACAGGTGCACTTAGTTAACTGTTTTACATGTCTGGTATACCGTTTGATACTAAATGTACTTAGAAGAGCTATACGGAAAGTATTACAAACAAATGAAAGGATACAACTGATCTACTGGGATGAACTAGGGAGCACATAAGAAAGTGCTCATGATGTCATGAAGAGCATAAATAAG